ATCTATAGTTTAAAGTAACAGTTTTATCTTAGTAACATAAAAAGCTCCCAGGCTATGGTAACTGACTTCACAATGATTTCAGCTAATTACTAAGGAAATTACTAAATGCTAGGGGTGCTTGCCACTTTACTCTGAATGTTTAGGTTATACAATTAACTCTGGATTTAAAATAAATAAACTAACTATACTTACTAAGAATGGCTTATTTTGGAAAATCCAGGTTACTCTAATTTTGTAACCCTACAAAATTAATGTCTTAGCCCAAAAGCCATAGGATTATAGGCTGCTAAATCTGATGACTAATTTAAATATGGGCATTTTTTTCATGTTTGTATCAAGACTTTCATAATTATCACTACTGACTGCAGTGCAACCTCATTAACTTATCTGCTTTACTTAAGAGTGTCTAGATTAGTGTTTCTATGTATCGACTCTACACAAAAAATACTGAGGTAAAAAATTCATTAATCTATTTCATATTACTATAACTAAATATTTTGACATTACAAAAACACTGTGTTTTATATGTTCATCTCTAACATTACAATTTTTCCACTAAATTTACTGCTAGACTACAAAATAATAGTTGTACCATGGATAGGACTTTCAATAATGGGGTGTTTATTTTTAATACTACAAACCTGTAGATACATAATTTTACCACTAGATGGAGCACTGTGCACAGGTAAACTGAAACCTGTGCAGTCTCAAGTGGCAAGTGTATAGTGGTAATTGCTGGAAGAAAAAAAAATGAAGATGACAAAAATAGTGAAAATTTGAGAGACTTTTACTGGATTTAGCCACATTGCAGGAACAAAATTACCACAGAAAAAGCTCGAATTGCCACTTATTTTTTCAGTAAAAATCTATTGATTCATTTCATAATGCAAAGATGGGTTATTGCAAACATAACAAAAAATATCTAGTCAGGTACCAGCTAGCTTGTATGCAAGTAATTGCACAGAAGACTTGACTTTTAAGATTTGACTTTATGTAAGCTATTTCAACTCCTGGGACTCAGTTTCTTCATATGTTAAAAATTGGTAGAAATAAACTAATGATAACATCTATGAGTGGCTTAGGAAGAACTTGTTTCCGCCTCACCTTTAATGGAAGCTCCTAAGATTGTTCCACTCCTAAGACCTTTGTTTCCATTTCTAGGACCTTTCCAACTAAAACTTCCAAAATTTTACTTTAAAAAATGTGCTCATTAGGGAAAATGCAGCCTCAAGGCACATTTTGTATCTAACTCTTCCCAGGGGACAACTTTCTAGTCCTGACACTGGCCCTTCAAAGAATGATATTCAAGATTACTTATAGCTCTGGGTTCTCTTTGTATGCAGTATTTTTTACATGACTAGGTTATATACATGGAAACACTAATCTAGACATTCTTAAGTAAAGCAGATAATTATAATGTGGAATGATGATTATGCCTGTTTGAAAACCACTGACAACCCCAATAAATGAAGAAGGAAAACTGGAGAACTGAACTGGAAATATTGTCTAGATAGTAGAGGGGAAAAAAAAAAATAGAGGGTAGGAATTACAACCTAATGTAATCTATTTAGATACTGCAAAGAATGTAAACTTACTTTTTCTCTTTTAACATTACAAACAGATATTCAGTAACAACTAAAACAAAGCCCTATACATAATTTAGAGGTATATTATACCCAATATAAAAAAAAACTGATTTTGACTAATAGAAAAGTTCAAATATGTGACACTGTAGTATCTTTTAAACTCAGCAAAGTGTACAAATGCATGGAACCATCCTTCTGAAATATATGTCTGCCAAATTCATTAAGTATGTGTCTGAAAATACTCCTTTCTGTAACTAGTTTATATTTCCTTAAGGTTTCATTCTTTAAAGTAAAAGCTTCTAAGGTACAGTTAATAAACACAGAATAAAACATGAAAAAATTAAATGAATATAAAAGAGGATTTCTAATCTCAGTCTTTTCTAATAAATTAACAATCCAAATTGATAACTTAAGTTCTTCAGTAATATTTGGTAAATATCAATGTGTTATTTTTGCTTCCCCTGAGGAGTTTATGTTTCAGGATAACATAACTAATAACCATAGTAAATGTGGTCTACTTGATTTTTTCTCCCAGAATTAGTTTTTCTTTTTTTTTAAAGTACACATACTTTAGTCTACAAAAGATAACCAAAAATCAATATTTTAATAAACCAATAAGATATACTTTTTAAACCTTCTTACTAAATGATATATACACTATGATCCAATTTCAATTTTTAAAACAAGCATGAAAATGAAAAGATATAACATAAAATTATGATAATAACTGTCCTTAATTATTGGATATTTACATTAACTTTTTTCTTCTGAGATTTCAATAAAAACCAGAATTATATAAGCAGGAAAAAAGCATTATTTATTTTAGACAATAAGATAATACATAGCCTGTTATATTCTTACAAAAATATGATATTAAATATTAATGAAATGCAAAAATCTGATTTCTAAGAAAATAAACTCAAGATTTCAGCTTTTACGAGACAGATTATTTCCCTGAACAAGGACTCACTCTACTGGTGACAAAGAGAATATATACTTATTCTGACATTTCTGAAGTAATTGCGTTATTTTCCACAAACACTAGAGAGCAGTGTTTTCAGTATCAAACAATTTCATTTCTATTTTTGTGGGTGCACATACACACTTTCACTTACATATATACAAAACCATATTTGTATAAAATACAAGTAATATATTTTGTATTTTTCTTACATTTGTATTCATTTTTACATATAAAAAGTAATAAACATTAAAATACTATTTTGTGTGTATATTTTAAAACTTTTTAAGGCTATACTAACAAGTACATAATCTAAGGCTGTGATCTGATACTATCTTATATTAAAATTAAATGACTAATAAACACACTAAAAACAGAGGCCTTTTATTACTGGTTACTAAGTAGTAAAAATGTAAAAACAAAAAATTTAAAAATTAAATACCAATAGTTAATGACAGATCTTTAAGAAAGCACCAAAATAATTTTCTCTAACCTCCCAAACCACTAATATTTATCAGGCATATGAATTACAGTGGTGGTGAAAGAGAGGCTGAGAGGCAAAAATTACATTCCAGGGAAAGAGAATAGCAAGAGCAAAGTCACAACATCTCAAAAGTACATAGTTTATTTGGGATATGCAAAGGTAAACAGATATGTCACTAAGTATAGGGTGCCCAGGGGAAATAAGTGAATATGAAGTTGGAAATGTAGGTCAGGGTCTTTTAGGAAAGGACTGATATGCTATACCTAGGAGTTGAACTTTATATTAAAGCCAACAGGAAAGTCAATGAAGACTTAAAATGAGAGAGCTGTGACAGATCTGAGTGTGTGTATGTGCGTGCGTGCGTGCGTGTGTGTGTGTGTGTATTTAAGTAGCAGTACACAGGGCAAACAAGAGTAAAAGTTTGGAGGATGGAAGACCAATGAGTCAAATATACTGGCCCAAACCATAAATACAGCAAAAACATTGAGAGGGCAAAGAACTGTTCCAATGACATTTGAAACGCAAGAATTGGTTGGTGAAGGATTAAACACAGTGAATAAAGTTTTCAAGTCTTGGTGGATATGAATTTCTTAAACACTAGAGTTTTTTAATCACTCTGAGTGAAAAATGCTTTCTGAAATCCAGGTAGCAAGATCTACTAAATAGCTGAACTTAAAACAACATTAAGAGTTTTGGTAACTTATAAGTCTATTATAAGAGACTCATAACCCTTATTAAATAACCTATTAAAATAAAATGAATTCAATAGGCAGCAAAGAATATACATTTCAACTGAACTCTTCATCTTTCAGCAAAATCAACTTTGCAAATGAATGGCAGACATGTAAACTAAAGAACTGTATGGCACTATTAGGGATAACTCTTATATTTATTTGCAATTATATAATTTTTACTTATAGGAATTTAAGACATTTAAAATACACACAAACAAACCCTAAACTATTATTCCCATAAATTTCAAGAAGTCAAAATTTTTAAAAACACAGTTTTATATGGTAGAAAAATATGAAAGTTTACTAATAATGAAAATCAAGTGTGCTGGGGCTGTGGCTCAGAAGTAGCCTGGCATGTGTGAGGCACTGGGTTCGATTCTCAGTACTACATATAAATAAATTAATTAAAGGTTTATCAACAACTAAAAAAATATTTTAAAAAAAGAAAACCAATTATACCAACGATTATTAATAATTATCATTAATATAACTTCACATTTACAGAGTATCTCAAATGCAGCTCTTGTATCTACAACCTATTCAACAGGTGGGCTTGAACTGGTAGTAATAGCAATAGAAACAACTATAATAACATATAGAAAAAACTAGAGATGTTTGATGCTCTTATTTGGGAATTAATATTTAAAACTAGAGCTTTCCTGGCATGAATAAACTAGATTAATTACTGTCTACTGAATTTCCTAAAATTTTCTGAAACACAGAAAATACAGACCAAAGAAATTTAATACTAATCCACTATAAAAAGCACACAATTTGCTCTAGAACTATAAACTGGGTACCATAGATGCCTGTTTCTGAATTATTACACAAAGTTTAAATCCTGAGGAAAACTCCAATCCAATTGTTAAAAGTTTTGTGTTTTAAGTTTGACCATTTATATGTGAATCTAGTAAAACATTCAAATTATTGACATTTATTTTGACTTCATAAATTATTTCTAATAAAATTCTATCCAAGAGATACAAATATCTACTAAAGTCCCCCCAGTTCTTAGATAATTCCTTGGATTTCACTTTTTAAAACTGCATTATCTAGATATGGCATTTAAAATATTCTTTATTTACCTAACAGAAAAGCCTACAAGCTGAAAAATCTGTGTGATTTGTAATTCACAAAGACTAGAGTCTCAACATATCTATTTTAGTATTTTTAACAAAATTTGAATGGATTAAACAACAAACAAAAAAACAAAAAAAACACTTAGGAATACTTACTTGAACCTGGCAGGTGAAAGAGGAGTAGGAGGAAACATTCCTGGTTCAAAAGAATCAAAATATGTAACTGTCCAAGAAAAACTGCAACAGGAGAATCCAGCAATTAGGGATATTATAAGTAGAGTCCAGAATCCTTTGTGGGAAGGAAGAGAGAGCAGGAAACTTAAAATTATTAACACTATAACAATTTTAATTAAACAAGTGTCTTCATGTTCAGAAGATCATATGTATTTCTGGTCTTTGTCTAAGTGTAACAAATATTATAATAAGAGATTGACCTTAATAAAAACTAAACCAGAAGTAGAAGTTATTAAAACAATTAAAAGTCACATCATTATATTTAATTAAATTTACTATATAGAGGAACAAATTTAACTTAAGAATATAATACTTTCATTTTTAAAATTTGACTATAGGAAAAATGATTAAAACATTTTACTCTTAAGATGTCTTGACATATTTCAAATAACTTCATGAATCATAGCTTGCTATGTTTTATTAATTAGTACTAAGTGATTCATTCTACACCAAGTACTTCTGACATATGAATCAATTTTGGAGTACCTCTTTCTCAAACTTTTCCTATAAAAATCATAAACCTTATGATTCTTCATCCTTGCTCAATATGCAAACAAAGGTTGACTCCCAGTTTACCAATGAGTTGGAATAATAGTTTATAACAGACAACAGTTTATTTGCAGTCGATTTGAGAACAGTATTCCCTCACCCCATAGAAATCAAGTCAAAAGCATAGTATTACAGTAAAATCAAGGAAAGGAGTAAGGATTGAGAAATAGAATATGAATATAAAAAAAGTGACAAGATATACTAATAAAGTTTTTTTTACATACTATTTTAACCCGTTAAGAGTATTAAAAGGGCAATGATCTGTTCTTGTTGAGAATCTTAAGTCCACAGTCAGTGGCCACCTCCCTTTATTAGCTGTACAGCTTTATTTGCATGTCAAGTTTTCAAAATTCCTTCATAAATTAATTTACTTGTTCATCTACTCAACAAAATATATACAAGGGCTATTATGTGTTCATTACTATGTTATCAGATAGGGATAGAGTGATAAATGAAACACAAAACATCACTGTCTTTATGGAATAATTCTAGTAGGGAGAAAGATAACAGATAATTATAGACTGTGATAACTCTTTTTGAACAAACCAGATGTTAAGAGAGAACAAAATTCAGACTGAAAATATTAACTTTTTCTTGGAAGAAAAAATGCTAATCAAGTTTTTAATATGATCAACAGTAATAGTCAAATGGAATCAAATTCTACCAGATATTGAAACATACTGTAGGACCACAAATATTTAAAATAGTTGTACTAGCATATGAATAAACAAAAGAATGGAACAGAATACAAAATCTAGAAAAAGGGCCAAAGAGATTATGTTTTAAAAAACATTATTAGAGTCTGAGAAGGTGGTAGTTGTAGAGCTAGCATATATAAGGCCTTGGGTTCAATCCCTAGCTCCAAAAAAAAAACCCAAAACAGTATTAATTGTGGTGGTAACCACCTAGAAAGAAGAAGAAGAAGAAAAAAAAAACCCAGTTGGATCCATGTCCCATGTTAAATTCTAAAACACACTAATGTGTTTTAACATATTATTATGAATTATGCTTTCTCTTCCCTAAACAGAAAAGTATCATCAGAAAAGTCATGCCTTTGACAGAAAAAGGTCTAATTTTTAAAATTCATATATTCCACTATTTACATGTATACACAAAGAGCAATTAAATATGTATGGCAAAAACCTCAAATCGAATAGCAAATGTTTTAAATACAATACATATTTGTAACTTACAGCATGAAGGAAAATTTTTCTATGAGAGAATTCCTAGAAACCAGTAAGAAAAAGACCAGCAATCTAAGATTCCAATATAAAAATGAGCTAAGAATATGACCCTAGAAAAGGAACTTAAGTGATACTGAACATAAAAAAAGTCTATTTAGTATCAATCATCAGAAAATTGGGTATCATTTTTCATAATTATCAACTGGCAAAAATTAAAAACTCTGATAGAATTCTGACACTGAGGATAAGAAGAAACAAATTCTTTACGCATTGCTGCTAGAGGAATTAAACTGGTAAATCTCTATGCAGAGCAATTTGGTAGTGTATTTATTAAAACGACACCACGAATATATAATTTCATCCAGAATTCTACTTCTAGATAACTGTCCTATATATACACTCTTGCATAAAAAATGCACAAAATTATTCTTTGTATCATTACTTATAATAATGACTGAAAACAATCTAGATATTCAGCAATGCAGGTTCAGTTGGTCCCTCAGCAAATGCCTGAAACTGTAGAACCTACATATACTGCTTTTTCCTATATATATGTGATAAAGCTTAATTTAGAAATTAGGCTCAGTAAGATATTAATAACTAGTAAATTAGAACAAGTAGAATATCATATTGTAATAAGCTATGTGAAAATTATGTGTATCACCTGGACACAAACCCTGAAAAATGTCAACAATTATTTTGACCAGCTGATTACAACACTAAGTAGTGATAAAGGGGCAGTAACACAGTGTGAATATGCTGGACAAAGAAATGATTCATGTCCTAAGTAAGAATGGCGCAGAATCACACAATATTTGAACCAGTATGCAATTTATAACATAAATTTTTATTTCTGGAAATTTCCATTTAATATTTTTCAACTCTTGATCACAGATACCTAAAACCACAGAAAGAAAACTGCAGACAAGGGTTTATCATTTTTTATGTTCTTTTTAGTAGAATGACAGTAAAATGTATTTTGGCAAATTATATGTACATAGACTATAACATTTTATTTAGGATGCCACTATTATGGTTGTACATATGGTGGAGTTACCTTGGCCATGTATTCAATACAAGGCTAGGAAAGTTATATCCAATTAATTCTACTGTCATTTCTATTCCCTCCCCCACCTCCCTTTATTTTCCTTTGTCTAATCCAGTGGATTTCTCCTATTCCCTTCTCCAAACTCCCTTGTTTGGGGTTAGCATCCACAAATCAGAGAACAATCAGAATTTGGTTTCCTGAGACTAGCTTATTTCACTTAGCAGGATAGCCTCCAGTCCTATCCATTTACGAGCAAATACCATTATTTCATTCTTGGCTGAGTAATATTCCATGATATACACATTTTCTTTATCCATTCATCCATTGAAGGACACCTAGGTTGTTTCCATAACTTGGCTATTGTGAGTTGAGCTGCTATAAACATTGATGTGGCTGCATTGTAGTATGCTGTTTTTAACTCCTTTGGGTATAGACCTAGAGTGGGATAACTGGGTCAAATGGTAATTTTATTCTTAGTTTTCTAAGCAATCTCCATATTGCTTTCCTTAGTTGTTACACCAATTTGCAGTCCCATTGACAATGTATTAGAGTACCTTTCTCCCCACATCTTCACCAATATTTACTGTTATTCATATTTTTTAATTTGGATCACATTACTATCAAATCTTTGACATAATTTACATCAAAAAGTAAACAGAAAAGTAAAATTACACCAAATTTCCAGTAAGATAGTCCTTGAATGTGGAGAGAGAGAGAAGTTGTACCCTTATCTATATTCAAACTGCCTTCAGTTTACTAAGCTACCATTACTAAAGTGTATGACCAACAATGTTTCCTGAGTACAGAGACAAAGGAAAAGTTGACAACACTAAAGGATGTCTTCAGAATTATCAAACTTCCTGAATACAAAAAACTGATCCACCAAAGCCTTTAAGTAAAATGCAGGCAAGAAATATATGCATTGTTTTGTTTACAAACCACATGAAACCCAGGAACTGAGACTGACCTTCAACAAAATGTGTGAAGTATTTTTGAAAGATTAACCTAAATGTTTTCTCCTGATAGCTTCCTTCCTCATTCTCCTGGTCCTTTGCAGAGATAATAAGTTGTACTTTCAATGCCTTCAGAAGAGGGATGTAGCAAAGCAGAAAGGGGAAGTAACCCTAGTATCTCTTTGGTTTTTATGTTGCAACATTATTATAAAAATAATCATACAAATATCATCAGGGGTAGGAGGGTAAACAAAACAGCTTGGATAGACAGTAAAGATAATGAACAGATAGTGGTATACATGAAAGTATGTTTGGAACTGAAAGAAATGAAGTGAGGGGAGGAAATGTCCCTGGTTTGAATAAAGCATGTTTTGTGTTTGCACTCATGTGTGTATACAGGGGTTAGGGAAGGTTAGTGCAGCTGGGACTTCCTGGCAAAGCCATCTACAAGAAACCATCCATCATATAGGGAATGTAGCTGTATATATCTTCATAGATGGGCCCAGAGGCCAGTCTATAGGTACGTCTGCCATTAGTGGGACACAGAAAGAGTAGGCTTTGGCTGCAAGTGCTACATGTGAAAGGCCAAAATGAAAGCCATTCAACGATATGTCACTTGAGCAAATTTCTTTGGCATTAGATGTATCTTCGTCTCAAAATTCTAACACAGTACTACCCATTAGAACCTTAATTCAACTGGGATTAGACAGACAGAAACTTAGTAAAAGCTATGGTATTTATAAATTTCTTGCTATCCCAGTTAGATTTAAACAAATTACAAAATCAGCATACAATTACAGTTAATGGGTGGCTATATTGCCAAATAGCTATTATTTGCTACTGCTTAGATAAACATCTTTAGAAAGGGGAGAAAAAGTTTAACATAACATGTAAAGTAGCAAATAACAAAGATGGTAATTAAAATAAAAATCAAGTATTTGTGTTTGGGGCGGCTATGAAATAATGAAACTTCAAGATTCCTAAGTGGAAAAAATGAGGAAACATACAAAATAATATTTAAAAATAACAAAACATGAAGCTTTCTAAAGCCAAACTTTTTCACTCAGGTGTTTTAATAGGGTACCTGTCTAAATTTAATAAGAATGTTCTTGAGTTTTTCTGAAATGATTACTTCTATTGTGCAATCCAAGTGATAACTATAATTGGACATATTATTTTATATTCATTACGAATTAACAAAGTCATGTCACAATAATAGGGCTAAAGGGTACATTGTGATTCTGTGCTTAAGTTCAGAAAAATTACTCTACTCGTTTATGAGTAAAAGAAAAAAGCCACAGAAGTTAACTCAATATAATCA